TGATTTAACCAGGTTGGTATGGTGCCCAGGCATCACCATTTTTGTAAAGTAGTACCCCAGATAATTATAATTCATATTCATATTCATAACTGAGAACCATTGGTTAGGGAAACAGTAGGGATTCGTAACCTTTATCTTTGTGAGTGATGCATCTTGTCTGATAGAACAAAAGTAATTTGGAGTACTGGGAAATTTTTACCTCTGACCTGTAAGTTCATAAAAAAGCAAAAACAAATTCTTCAAGTAATGGGAATTATTCCTTTTGGTCATTGTAGTCCTGGCAGACAGGGCAGAATTTGGCACTTGATAGACTATAGCTCATATTTGACATGGACTTAAAGGACTGAATCTAGCAAGTAGCATTTCAGTGGAGTTAGCTTCTCATGAGCCATTCTCACACATGAAGACCTGTTATTTTCTGTCTTTAAAATACTTGAGGCAAACCCCAGAATCCCCGCTTCTGTTGTTTCCTGGGTATCAGAAATGTAAGGGATGGCCTTCCTTATTTCCCTGCTGACTGAAGGCAAAGTTTGCAACTGGATCATACAAATGGGTTGCTTCAAGTGGACTGTGTGACAACACCCATGATGAAGCCTCGTTATAGTCCTTAGGCCTGACTGTCCCTTGATAGAGGTTTGCCATCCTTTAAAGCTTTGTCTTTGGGCCCACCCTTAGTCTAGACAGTCTCTTCCACTGTGCGCTATTTTTGAGTTGCAGTTTAGATTTCTTTTCATTCCAAGTGCCTGAGAACCTGGCACTTGAAGGATGTCATAAAAACGTTGGCAATTTAATTCTCCATTATGCTTTTCCTACAACTTTTTGTTTGGTTGATTTTACATGCTGGCTTAGTAAGTGATTTTTTTTTCCATCTCTTCTCAAATGTACTATGCAGTCCACACAGATTGTGGTGGGCTCCTGGGACTTGCTTGAAAATCTCACTGTTAAACTTTTGGACTCCTTCTCTAAGATGTCCTCTTAAGTAAGTCAGTACCACATTTTGCAGGTTCTCCTTTTGCACCTTTTAGATGGACATTGTAATTATCTGCGATTAAAGAAGAATGAAAATAGCAAAAAAAAAAAAAAGCAATTAAAATGGAACATTCTAGACAATAATGCTTTTCTGTAGTGGGGCTTATGGCTGTCCTAGGCTGTGGAATACTTAATGACCAATCCATGTACTTAGTAGTGTTTTCTTTTAAAAGAATGCTTCAAAAATAAAAAGAATGCTTCATCATTAAATCAGCTGTAATTGCTTAACTGAACGTTGTAGTGGATTGATCATTGTGATGACTTTGTAATCCCACTGAGAAGGTATAATCTTGGGGCTGTGCTACCCAACCTCAGGCCATTTGCTTTTTTCTCATGGGAATCCTGGAAATATTTCCATTTTCTAGTCTCCAGCTCTTACCTAGTAACTGGTCACGTCTCTACCCTCCTAGCTAATAATAGGGTCTTATGTGAAAATCAAGATGACTTATCTTGCTCATTTCTAACATTTTTGAAAGAATTCTGTCACATTCCAGATGCCTGCCCCTTTGAAGTCCAGAGTCAGTGAATGGAGAGAGAATGAGCTAAATTCATGACCAGTCCAGGGCCAGCATAGGACAAATACTCTCCAAACACTGTTACTACATTGACCAGCCAGGGAGCCTGCTGAGACAAATGGTGGAATAACAGCATTCAGCCTTCAGGGACTGAATCTGAAATGTTTACCGAGGATTAAATTGCCCTTTTCCTGCCTTTTCCAGAGCATCTTCAAAGCAATTGCTGAGGGCTTACAGGTTCTCGAACATCTGTCAGCCTAACACTTGCTCTAGGCATCCTCAGTTTGCCTTTCACTCACTGCTTCAAAAAAAAAAAAAGAGTATGCTATTTACAAATATTAACAGTGTAATGTGTATTTTGAACTATGGTGTTGTTTTAAATGTTGATTGCCTGTGACCGCTCAGCACTCTTGCCGTCACAGATTCAGAGGGATTGGTGCTTGACTTCTGTCAGAGGTGAAAAGAGAGCACTTAATCGGAATTTCACAGCAATTTCCACATAAACCAGCTTAAATAAGGTGTATTTATGTACAGCAATCAAGAGCTGACTAATCTCCTGCTAAGTGTGTGAGTCCAAGAGATGACTGGAGTGCTGAAAACATGCTGCACAGTAAACAAACTGCCAGGCTAGCCACGTCACAATGTGAAAGCCATTTCCTATTGCCCCAGCTAGAATTACTACTGTAGATTTTGATTATATTTCTGTCATTACAGATTTTGGTGTCATTTTGTTTACAAATTTCAAATGGAGCAACATGTGGCAGTATAGCAGACTGTTCAATTACACCGTTCCTGGTTTAACTTCAGATCAGATGCTTTCAAACCACATTTATCACACATAATTTAATTGGTGTCTTGTCTCACGTAAACAAATGGTTTTTAATCTATCATTTTTCCATTGTTAGGGCTATATCTTAAGACTGGGAAACATTTTTTTCTTAGAATAGGAAAATGTACACTTTATTTATACCTGGCAGTGTTCTGTTTTATGTTCTACACTTGAAAAAAACCCAAATGGACATACACAGTTTTGATGCTTCCAGATAACATGGAAATTGTTTAACTTTATAGATCTAATTGCAACATTGTTGAATCTTCCTTTTTTTCCTACCTAGTAAAACAAAGAATAGCCTAAAAGCACAATAGCCCTGATTAATTATGTAAAGAATGCTCACTTTGGAGAGGTAGTAAGTTAAAAGAAATGTTTAGAAACTCGAAGATGCAACATTTCTACCTAGAAATTTTCAAAGTTCTTTATTATTCACAATAGTAATGGAAATTTTATCTACCTGCAAATGTCATAATCTTCTTTAACTGTCTTTTGAGAATTCCATTCCTGGCTATTATATTTACATCATTTCTGTCTTCAACCACACCCAAATCCTTCTCCTACCTCCCAACTGTATGACTTTTTCT